TCTGTGATGGACTAGAGACCTGTCCATGCTTCTCGCACAGTGACTGCTGGGCATGGGCACCAGCGACCCCCGCAACCTGGAAAGTAAGAAGTGGGTAAAATAATGTATGGATGGATGGGATACCAATTTAAACAAACCTTGTTTAAAAAATGTTGGCAGCAAACAATAACAGTTGGGCTTGTAATGTTTTATTCCATTTTATTCTGTGAACATGATTAGAAAAATATGAATACCCCAGACATTACAGTTTTAACACACAGATAAAAAATATTTGTATTATTTGTTGTGAGTGTGCTTGGAGATAATCAGGAGAACCTACATGTTGCATGTCGTTTTCATTGTGAATGGGTCTAAATTCCTACATGTTTCCAGTTTCACCACTTTTTTGTCTGTCTAAACAGATTGCACTTGTAAATGAGTCTTCAAGGCTCAGTGTGATTTATCTGTATAAATAAAGGTTGAATTGAAATTACTGAACAAACTATGAATCAACCAAGTGATGAAATGTTTCACTATAATTACTATAATAAAAATTAGCACAATGTAATTTGAAAAACGCTCTACAAACAAGTACTTTAGAATAGTTTTATAATTAAAACAAAAGTGGTAAGTAATAATATACATGATTTAAAAATTAAAATCTAATACAAATCATACATTTTGTTTTAAACAAATTTTCAGCCTTCAATCATTTGCACTTCTAACCCTAGGGTAACCATGTCAACAAAAATATTTAAGCTGTATGCATACACACATATTTTATTTATGACCTCGTATGCCCAAGAGCAGCAATTTCCAAAAACCTATTCTCCTAGCTTCTATCCAGTTTTGTAAGGTTTTGTGCTGAAAAGCTGAGGCACGAACAAGCAAGCTATCATTATCGCCTCAGGGACACAGAATATTCACTTCCTTGAAAAACACTGTAAAACGTAAGGAAATAAATAAATAAATACATTCCCAAGTGTAGAAGTGGTTCTCTGCGTTCAGTGAAAGAGGTGCTGAAAGCCCTTCAATTCCTGGAACTCACAAAGACCATTACCACATAGATTTCCACTGCTCGGCTACACACATTTAAAAATGCCACAATACGTTTCCTTTAATGAAAAACTGGTTTGTTGCACTGAGCTTCACCAAGTCATTTAGGCCAGGCCTCTCTTAAAGCCTGGTGCATCATGCATTATAGGTGCAAACAGAGCCAAAGTCAAAAAGGCACATTGTGTTTCAAGGAAACAATGCCACAATCAAACCTGCTTTAATTGCACTATTCAAACCCATAAATCAGGATGGCACAGGCACAAACACATGAACACTGAATTGTTCTCCTTAGTTTATCTACACAATACCAATGACAAGCAAGCAAACAGCATGGCAAATGGAACACACACAGGGCTATTGTAGACATTAACAGTAACTCAGAGGTCTTTAGATCTTTCATAGCGCTCCTGTAGATTAAAGACAGAACCCAAATTGGACTGTTGATTTAAATTAATGAACAGACTAACAAACTTTTAATGCATGAAGAAACTTGCAAACATCTTGTTTGGTAAAGTGTTCTTTGAATTCATAATTTTATGTAAATGCAAAACCAAACTGTTTAGGATTATAGAAGATCAGGTTCACATTAGTTCATCACATTACAACACTACAACTGTAAGGGCACCTCCCTAGGGAGGTGCTTCGGGCATGTTCGACTGGGAGGAGATCCTGGGAAAGACCCAGGGCCTGCTGGAAAGACTACGTCTCTCAGATGGCCTGGGAATGCCTTGGAGTCCTCCCAGAAGAGCTGGAAGAGGTGGTTGTGGAAAGAGATGTTTGGGCCTCCCTTCTCAAGCTGCTGCCCTCGCAACCCAACTTCGGAACAAGCGGAAGATGATGGATGGATGGATGGAGAGATATAGTCTCTAAACCATCATTTTGAGATATGATCATAATTATGAGATGCTAAGTCATAATTTTCAGAATCCCATTTTTAAGAGTGGAAGGAATTGACTTCCACAGTCTTTGGCAAACCGGTAAATGGTTGGAAATAATTATATTTTTTTTCTTTTAGATTGTAGGACAGTTGTTACATAGTACTTTGAATGCACTTTTACCAGTTTGTATGTTGATAATAAAGTTTAAATTACTATACTGTTGTTATTTTTTGCAATTGTCTATTTGGCATCAGTATATGAATTGATTTATATAAGCAACGTTTATAAATCCATTCTTGAGTTCAATAAGATTTCAGTCTAAATAAAATTCCAACTGTGTAGCTGGTGATGTGCATCACACTGTAAGTAAAACAACAACAAAAAATAATTACCAAGGAAAAATAGTTTTGTTGAAGATCGTTGCCACAGCAAGTAGGAGATGTTTTAAAATGGGGTGACTAGTGATGGATTGGTGTAGCAGACGTCAGTAAGATGGTTCATAATGGTTTAAGGGCCCTATTCCATTATACCTGACAGGAGTTGCCAGTTACTTACTGAGGTAAAGTGCAAACCCAGATATCCTTGTGTCAGCAAGACAGATACCTACAGCACTTGAGCTTAGAGGACACGGGCTCATGTCTGAGCTGGTAAAGACTGAGGAGTGAAAATCAGCAGTAGCAGTTTGGAGCAGCAAGGAGAAAAAAGAATTTGGAGGACAGTGTAATAAAAATATCTGTGGGAACAGTTTAAGATTTTTAGAAAGGCATAAAAAAAAGCCACAAAAGGTTTTCTGAAGCATTAAGGTCTCATCCATTTTTGTCAAGAAAAGTACAAGATAAGTGGAATTAGCTGGAATTAGTCATAAAAAACAGCTCGCAGTTGAAAAGAAGTAAAAGATGTGAAGAGGGCCTATTTTAGGCTTATTGCTATCTGCTCCTGTTTTTAATAATCACCATAATCAAAAGCTAATTTAAAAAAAAAAAACTTTCAGGGATGTTAGTAAAAAACACGAACCAAAAAAAAAAAA